GACACACTAGTTGAGTGGAGCCCAAGGAACCGGGGTCTAACCAACTCAGAAAAAGGGAACGAGGTCAATAACGCGTAACCCTTACCATACAGGATTTTAGAAAAGTGGGCAAAGCATAACGTGCACACTTACCAACTATGTGGATTTTAGAAAGTGCGCAAAGCATAACGTGCACACTTACCAACTATGTGGATTTTAGAAAGTGCGCAAAGCATAACGTGCACACTTACCAACTATGTGGATTATAGAAAGTGCGCAAAGCATAACGTGCACACTTACCACTTATGTGGATTTGTAGAAAAGTGCGCAAAGCTTAACGTGCTGCACTTATTTTAGAGTTTTCCAAGCATCTGTTTACAGATACCCGGAAGTACTGGGCCAAACGGGAGAGGCAAGCTCAAATACAACCCTCAAAGAAGAGGGGAGCACTGCCCGAGACAGCATTTACACAGGAAGGTTCTCGTAATGCCACCTATGCCTCCCGCTCGATGCCTCAGCAAGAGGGGATATCCTGGTGATCGGGAAACCCCTCAGGGCGACCCAGATACGGTAGACCAGTCAGGGTAGCATGAAAGCGTAACCCCAGCCCGGACGTCCAGGAAATTTTTGCAGTGACGCGCCGGGGGCCTGATGATCACGAAGGCTCCCGCAGAAGCCTGTGTTATGGCCGCATGATCCAGGAAGTATGAAGCCGAAAACCGGCTTTACTTACCGTCTGGACATATATCGACGAATGAAATACGCACTGCAAGTCGAGCAACCGGTTTCTGAACCCAGCAGAGGGGGTGCCCATCGAGGACCTACCCTAGAAAGGGACAGAAACACACAGGTCCCGGGAAACACTGCAAAGAAAACTAGCAGAAGGGTTATTTTTACACACAACCACCAGTCTCATTAGATACACATATATATTCATATATACATATATTAGACATGGATCGTACTCACCCACCATGGTTCCCGCGTCGGAGCTCTGTCCGAAGAAGCCTCTAGACCGGACCATCAGTAAGATGGTCACTATGAAGCCATAGAACCAACCAAACCTAATAGGTCCAGTATAGGAGACTATAATGCAGGAAATTTCCCACCTAACCTCGGTCAGGTGGAGAGATGGTGGTTACAGGGGAATTAGGAAGGTGAAGATAAGGGCAGATGTAAGACCCCCGAAGGAAATGAGTAGATACTGAGGTATCACTCTGATCCGGACAAAAGCACTGACGCCCTGTCTGGATCACATCCCTTAGGTCTTTTACTTACCTTCCTTTGACCCGCGATTCTACCTACCCCTACCCGCGGGCGGGGGAGGAGCGCGAGCCGCGACACTAGCCTTCTGAGCCAGTCTCTGATCCTCAAAACTGAGACGGGCTAGGACCCCTGGGTTGTTCGGGCTCAGACCTGGACTTCGTGAAGGCCGCTATCCCGGTCTTTCAGCAGGTCAGCCTGATATGCTTGGAGCATCACCATCGTGTGCAATGAAGCGACAGCCCGACCTGCTGCTGCTGCGTATGCCCTGGCATCCGAGCGAGATGTCAAGGAGGGGAGTCTTAGAGGACGTCTCACCCATAGAGAGATAGCTGGCTAGCGTCTCTCTATAGGGGCATCTTCTCATAACCGCTTTTGCGCATCGCCTCGATGTTGGCATAACTTGTATGCTGGAATCGATGGATGCGTGAGGAAAAAACGGCCTCTTCCATTCCTTCTCAATCTTTATATGAAAAAACAGGAAGAAAGGAAGGCTCACCTGAGCTGGAGGGTTATGGCCAGAAAAATAACGTTCATCGAGATATTTCGCGACGTCACTTTCTTCACCCGCTTCACGGCAAGTAAAGCCTCGCCGTGGCGCGATCCATAATTTCCAAAAGCTCATCATACGCAGGGCAGGAGGATTGGGAAGGCTCAGCCTCAGCTTCTTTGCCCTCCTCAGCTACTTCCTGCTTTTGCTGGGCTGATCCCAGCAGAGCAATGGCCCCTGAATCAGACAATGTTAATGAAATAACATCATCCTCCAGCGGCTCACTCTCGTGCACAGCCGACGATCGCAAAAGGGAAACCCCCCTTCAAACTCATCGGCCAGATCCACCTGCGATCCCCACGAGCTCATTCCCTTCCGTGCCTCAGCAGCGGCGGGTCCTGAATCGCGGGAAGCAGATGGCTGCCCCTCTTTCCTCGAAAAGAGAGACAAACGAGAGCGGAGCTTTTTTCCTTGGAAAAAACGCTCGCAGTGCACGCCGATTGCCCCCTCGGAGACATCGCGTGCGTGCTCTTTGCCCAAACAAACAACACATAGATCGTGTGTGTCATCAGATGTTAAACAACGTCAACACGGATGCACACATCCTTAAATGCTTTGCTAGTGCTCGCCATAATGAGATAAATAGAGATCGCTCTTACCACAGAAATGCACGCTTCAAACAAAACAGTCAATGAAGACGAAGAAGAGAATGATGTGTAGCTCCCGGCGCCTATTTATACTATAGTCGCACCGGTAGTGACGTCATGGCTGTCGCCGGCCAACGAGTTGGTGTTTTTTCAATGTATGCTTCAGACACGGGTCACGACGAGGCGTTCCCCATAGCGACCCCTAGAGGACGCAGTTCGAAGTTCCCATGAAAGGGAACTCACATCTGAAGGAAGGAGATAGGGAAAGAAACGCCTCTGCGGTCATGACTGCATGCATGCAACTTCTGGAAGGCTGGACAGGTCTTTACCAGTCAAAGCCATGTTCACAGGTTCAGAGACTGACACAGTGAGTGCTTCAGAGGAAGAGCTTAGTTTGTGAGGGTCATGGCAGAAAATAGTTAAAGTAGGCATGCAATGTGAGTCTGACACAACCTGCCCTCAAACTTCACATCAGGTCACTTCACATGTCGATCAGACGCTCTCTTCCTGTCTAAGTGGGTGGTTCTTGATCACAAACGAGCTGACACATTATGAACACTGTTTTTGGGCATCTGTTTGGACCTGGAAACAGTGGGGTGTGACATGACTGATTGACAGGTTGGCATTTGCACAAAAAATGCAATCCTATCACTTGTATTTCCCTGTTTACACCTGAGTTTAACACTGTTCGCTTGTGATCTGATCACTCATGACACGTCAATAAATCAAATGTCTTCCCCATTCTAATGTCTGATCAAGCAGTTACTAATGCTTTTGCTGCCTTTTCAAATGCAGTTAATACAGCAGATCCACATGCCACTTATCAGATATCACAAGGGAATGGAGCAGAGCCACAGGTCTGGCCTTCCAGAAAAACACAAGACAATGCAGGGCTGTATTACATTACCTCTTATAGCTCTCTGAAGGAAGAAATCTCTCTAAACACCAAACACAGTGTGTGTGTGTGTGTGTATATATATATATATATATATATATATATAGGCAGCATTTTAAGACATCATACCGTTCACAAATGAACAAATAGTCTTATATGGCAAGATTGAAATAAGAGTCCATCCCAGATAACAAACTGAGGCACTGTGGGAACATTGTTTTGAAATGTTTATAAAATGTTGAAATTTCCAGTTTTCTTGCCGTGATTATAATGTTATCTAAAGGTTACATAAATGTTTCTTACAATTTTCTACAAACTTTATTTTCACCTAAAATATTATGTTATTTGAATGGTTATTTGTATTATTGTAAGAGCATTATAATGTCCAGTTTTCTTGTTGTGATCAGAATGTTAGAAAGCTTACAAAAACATTTGTTAGAACATTCAAGTACAAATGACATCATAAGAACGTTCTGAGAATGTTGTTCTAAGAACCTTTTCTTTCAACAGTATAACAACGTATAGCAAACATTAATAAGGTTATAAGAAAATTCCATGAACATTACTTTCAGAACATTGTGTCCTAACATTAAAATAGCACACATTTAAAAAGTAGTGAGAGCATTCCCTGTTAGCTGGGGTTATAATGGATTATGCATAGTTTACACTGCCAGTCAGGGCACTTACACTATCCTTCTGATCAAGAAATATATTAGGCCTACGTATTTTAGTAATAAGTCTGAAAACTGGTGTTCCTATCGACATAGAATATCTGATTTAAAACTGGCATTGGCTAAGATCTAGTCTAAAAAATCTGAAATCTAATCAAAGTTAGTCATGGAAAAGAATGAATTCGATATCTACTGTAAATTACTTCTTTGGCTAGAAATTGCTCTTTTTAAATGCAATCTAAATAAAATGATTTTTATTCATTCTTAATCAGTGATAACAGGAAATTCATCTTTAAAGATCTTTAGAAGTGCATGGAAATTTCTGTGTGAGAAATGAAAGGAAATTTGAATGTAAGTGCTAATCCACTAACCCAAAACAATATATATAAATATATTACATTTCTCTTTCTGTTCTTTACTTTAGTTGATTATGGCAGTAAAAGCCCTTCATATTTACACAAAGGCCAGTTTCAGAAAGGTGGAAATCCTCTTTACTGTTGCTTTAAGGGAGACTGGAGCCACTAACAATGCCTTATTCATCAGCAGTGGACAATTACATAACTGAACATGTTAACCTGAGCTAATATACAGACACACACACACACACACAGACACAGACACAGACACACACACACAGATTTATGGGCCACATTTTCAGGTGAACAACACATTACACACTGTGTCTAATGTCTTCAGAAGACAAGTCATACAGAGGACGTTGTTATTGTCTTTGGATCTTGACAGGCTCAGTCCCTGTTCACTTTCATGGAAAAGAGCAGCTTAAACAAGATAAACCTCAGTCCACAGAAGAAAGTCAGTCATACAGTTTTGAGACGGCACTGCAAATCATGGCTTTTGAGCGAAAACAAGCCAACATACAAACCATAAAATAGGTCAAATACAGTTTTCCTATAATATGTACATATCTAAAAGTCCATAAGAGTACTGATGCACATTTCAAGTGTAATATGACACTTATATTTAAGTGTAATGTAAGTGTAATTCAGCAAAATGTAGGAGTTTTCTGACAACACACACACACACACTGAACTCACGGTGTTGGTGGGGGAGGTGGATGGCGAGGAGTCTGGTGTTATCAGGTTGAGAATGATGTCCATTGGAGAAATCATTGAGCCAGCAGACAGTCACGAGGCGTTCATTCACTCAGGTGTGTTGAGTTTTGATTTGAGTATCGAGAGTGTCCGTGCTGTTCCATTACAACATGATGAACAACAGAGAAAATAAAGTGTCCATGTTCTTCAAACGAAGACGACGAGGAGTAATTCAGCCCATGTGGGCCTGGGCTCTGACAGCGCTCTGAAAAACTCACCGTCGAGCTGCAGTGGAAACATCAGAGTTGAGAACGCAAGTGTTGGGAGTTCACACAGGCTATGAAAAACCCAAAAGCTCAGCGTGAACGGTTAGTGTGTGTGAGAAAGAGGCAGAGAGAGCCAGAGCCCATGAGAAGGGTTTTGTCTCAGAGGGACTCTTTTGGCCATTAAAACACTGTTGGACAACTAATGAGGAAATTCATTCACGGGTTTAAAGGGCTTCAAGAGCTTAGCCAATGAGTTATGGTGACCTACCAACCTCAACCAATCACAGACAGAGACCCTAAAACCAATCATAACCGTTCACTGTGTCCAGACTAACGACTGGCTTTGCCTTCAGTTACAAAAGCAGTGCATACAGACGTCATGAACATGAACACTGCAGATCCACACAACTGCGGCGTGACACTACTGTGTGTGTGTGTGTGTGTGTGTGTGCGTGCGTGTGCGTGTGCATGTGTGTGTGTGCGTGTGTGTGTGTGTGTACGTGCACGCAGAAGTGAAATGGGGTGCAAAAGAGGGGCAGACGAAAAACTGCCAAAACTCTCTCAATGGAAGAGAGAGAGCGAGATGAAGCTGTGCTTTAGGTAAGAGCTGGCTTATATAACAGTAGGCCTCATTCAGTCAGTGAGTACTGTTTTCAGTGAAGGAAGCACAGCACATGCTTCGAACTAGCTTTGAACCTCCACATCTGGGCTCCTCATTTTGTTATCTTTAGCAATAAGTCAGACCGCTTAGAAAAGCACAACGCTTTTCAACAAGTTGCATGATTTGAGGGATCCTTCATGTCTGTAGCATGTATTCATTTTAATACTTACGTTCAAGATTAGTTCCCAATCACTAAGCTTACAGTATTGGGAAGGTTTCTCTGGAAAAATAATCGTTTACGGATTACAAGTTACCCTATTTAAAATTGAATAAGTATAGTGTAACTATTTCAATTACTTTATTAAAGTAATGTAACTGATTACATTTGATTACTTTTTGATTCCTTTTATAATTTTTCTTTAAATTTTTCCTAAATTGTTAATCATTGTGTAACGTAAAACAGGCAGAGTTAACCTTACAGTAACGCTCAACACTGATTACTGTCAGACTTTCAAAAATCCTCCATCACTTAACCACTTACTGTGCGCCCCTATTTTTGAGCATTTTCTGAAAAACGACATACCCAAATAAAAATGTCTGTAGCTCTTGAACCCTATGGTCTATATTTATAAATCTGGTATTGTTTGAAACTACACACTTGAACCTTTGTTACTCTGGAGTCATAATAACTCAAAATTAGTATAGGTTAAATGAAGATTATAATAATTTTATTTTAAAGCACAGCCAAACACAAAATCAGACTTTAGCACCTCTTTTTACTTTTAGGTCATTCTGAGATTAAATGCTGATTTAAAGTCATAACAAGATATAGTTTATTAGATATGATACTGTTTTTGAAATCAAATATTTGCATAGCTGTGACAGGAAACACTGGCATCAAACAAAGCCTTGGGGGGAAAAAACTGTTAATTTGAAAATAAAGCATATACATAAACCCAAATAGGAAATAAAACAGTTATTATATAAGCATGTGTCCTAAACTCCAGAAACATTAGTGTGTCATATTTTAGAGCAGTCAATGCAAATTGGCAACTAAATCAATCAAATCTGTATGTGTGTGAAAATCTTCAGATGTAACCCCCTTTGTAATCGTTAACATTTTCATAAGTAACTATAATTTAACTTACTAACTTTTCCTCAGTAACTGTAACAGATTACAGTTTCATTTATTTTGAGTAACACTTTATTTTAAGGTGTCCTTGTTACACATGTTACATGTACTTACTATTATAATAACAATAAACAATATATCTAAATTACGATCTATGCTGTCAATGTCAAATGCAGAAATGTTCATTCATGCGTTCATGACCCCAAGGTTAGATTATTGTAATGCTTTATTGGGTGGTTGTTCTGTTGCTTTGACACAATCTGTATTGTTAAAAGCGTTATATAAATACAGGTGACTTGACTTGACACACACTCACACACACAGTGTCAGAATGTGTGAGTACTCTCTGTACAGTAGGTTATCAGAGTGCATTCTTACATAACATGACTCTTTGTTAGTGTCTTCACCCTAAATTGGACCAATTAATGACTCAAATATGCTCATTCACAACACAAACAAACAAGATTATAAACTCCAGTCACTTCCACTAACACAGCTCCAGCTCGGCCGTGGTATGGCGTCATACTGACAATCAGTGGCCCTGAAAATAGGCTTTGTTTTCTTAGTGCAACATATGATTAAGTTTTTTGTTTTGTTTTTGGACATGCTCTACTGTTATCTTAATCTAGAAAGCTGAAAACGGCACATTCCCTAATCATTAAACCAAAGCACTGTCTCATGTGTTTGTTATGGGATATTCTGCTGTCTCATCTCAGAGACTTGAGTATTTTAAGCATAAACATATACTGGTCTCAGCAGAACACGGAACATTCTGAGCTAAAATTAACCCACACTCTGAGCTGTGAAGGACACCAAACAGCCACTAGAGGGAGATGAGTTCCTCACAGCAGCAGTCAGATCATTCCTCCTGATCTACACACTCAGAACGGTCTTCACTATCTGAACGGCTCATACAAATCACTCTTTATATGAACTGATATCAGATGTGAACGTTTAGTGCAGAGTGGGGAAGGTGTGGGATCACTTCGGTGGAAAACCATTGTATCTGTGATCTGTGTGTGTGCTTGAATACATGCTTTATCAGGATTATGTGTATAATGGCATAATGAGTATTGCAACATGAACATGGTTTATGAGGTTTGCACTTCCTGCGTCCTCGAAAACCAAATGGCTTAAAAGAAAACACACTACATTCAACAAATGCCTGCAGTTGTGTGTGAGGGGAGGTTTAGGTTTAGGGGATAAAAAATACAGTTTGTACAGTAGAAAAACCGGTAACACTTTACAATACTGTTCCATCGTTGATGAATAACTACACAGGAACAAATGACTAATGCACTATTAACATTCTAGTAACTACTATTAACTAACAAGAAACTCTGATTAACGATTTAGTAAGTAATAGCGCTCAGTTGAAACTGGTAGTTCTCTATTAGCTAATCAATAACTACTATTTTTTCACATCCTGGAGAACTACTAAGAACTACTGTATACAGGTTCATAATTAATGTGAATTATGCATAATGTATAATTATTTCTATAGTGAAGATCATGTAATGATCACCACTAGTAATGACTGAAGTACCGTATTGACCCGAATATAAGACGATGTTTTTTTCTTGGAAATACATCTGAAAAAACGCGGTCGTCTTATATTCAGGGTCTAGACTTTGACATGAAATCCTTCTAAAGGAACTAGTAATTGCTTGGATCAGTATTCTAAAGTGAAAAGCATGACAACTCTCTAATATTGACTGACGTCATTGTAAGCTTTTGAGATACAGTATATGTAAGGTTCTGCATAGTAATGACTTAAGTGTTACTACATCCTTCTGAAGAAATGACTAATTATTTGGATCAGTATTCTAATGTGAAGATCACGGTAACCCATTAGTACTGATTTAAATGTTACTAAATCTAGCAAAATGAATTACTAACCAGAACCTTAGAAAAACCTCAAAAGTTTACAATGATTTCAGTCATTACTAGAGAATGAATCATGATCTTCACTTTAGAATACTGATCCAAAAATGAGTAATTCATTTAGAAGGATGTAGTAACACCTGAATAATTACTATCCAATACTTTACAAAACCCTCAAAAGCTTACAATGATTTCAGTCATTACCAGATAATTAATCATGTTATACACTTTAGAATACTGATCATTGGTAATTCCTTCTGAAGAATTTGGTAATACTTTAGTCAAAACTAGTGGGTTACCATGACCTTCACTTTAAAATTAATTTACATTATGCATTACTCATATTAATTATGAACGTGTATACAATAGCTCTTAGTAGTTCTTGCGGAGGTATGAAAAAATACTAGTTATTGATTAGCTAATAGTGAGCTAGTGAGAGAATATTTAGTCTGATGATCAATATTGCTAAACAAATGTTGACCTCTTTCTTCTGCTTCTTTCTTTTGTTTCAAGCTGTGTGTTGTGGGAAGTGCCACAGAATGACCCTTCTTTGATGCCCTCAAAGCAAAGCAAGAACACCGAGTACAATCTCTCTCTACTTTTGGGTCAAATATACAGAGATGATGTGACCTGGATAAGAGCGATGGCCTACATAAATAATTAGTCATGAATATTCATTAAACGTGCAGATAAAACAAGAGTGATGACATCAAAGTTCAAACATGTGCACAAACTCATGCATACAGCAAACCAATGAGTGATTTACTGGCTCGTCATAAGACACAGATCGCACACAGATGAGAGCAGCGCCAACGATAGCTGTTAGTGGCATCTCACACAGGAAACAGGAAACGCTCTGCGGCTCTGTAACTGAATTTTTCTCACGCTCTCAATGATCAATGTTATAGTTGCATTTTATGAAGCATGGTGAAAACGGCATGCAGGGCGCATTCGGGTCTAATGTCACCTTTAGAAGCTTTCTTTTGCAAAGTAAAGTCAATGCGAGCAGTGCCGTGGTGCAGCTTCTGAATGTAACAAACACTGGATGTTGTTGACTCGTTCAGAATTTAGACTGTCCTCTGATTACACACCGCTGCATTTCCACAGAGACAGGCATCAGACGGAGACGCTGACAGAAGGGCACGAAATAAAATAAAAATAAAAAGAGAGAAGAAAGGTAGAAATGAAGAAAACAAGAGAGTTGAATGTGAGCTGAAGACTCTGTTATGCTGTGTTTAGTCATGATGTAACAAAACAACAAGGAACGATTTTGACTCACACTAAACGATACACATGCAAATCAGGTCTGGACAGGAGGTCTGGTCTATTGTATTCCATGGGTGTATATGGGTGGTCATAAAACAGATTTGTGTGTGTGTGTGTGTGTGTGTGTGTACTGGGATTCTAATGAAGAATGACAGGAATGACAGAGAAAAACAACAGGAAGGACTCATGCTGTGGGTCACTGCCACAACTCAAAATGACCAGATATTACTTTTCCTACAAACTGGCGATATCAATGGCAAGCAGTTAGGTTGTGGTAGAAATGTTTTCCTCTAAAAAGTCATTATCTA